CCTCGCTGAGCATACCCACTGTGTGCCTGGCACCAGCTCTTGTTGTCTCCTTTAATCCTCACCAGGACTTTTTTTTTTTTTTGAGACAGAGTCTCACTCTGTCGCCCCGACTGGAGTGCAGTGGTGCGATCTTGGCTCACTGCAAGCTCTACCTCCGATAGTCACACCATTCTCCTGCCTCAGCCTCCTGAGTAGCTGGGACTACAGGCGCCCACCACCACGCCCAGCTAATTTTTTGTATTTTTAGTAGAGATGGAGTTTCACTGTGTTAGCCAGGATGGTCTCCATCTCCTGACCTCATGATCCGCCCACCTCGGCCTCCCAAAGTTCTGGGATTACAGGTGTGAGCCACCACGCCTGGCCAAGTTTTGTACTGTTAATAGAGATGGGGTTTCACCATGTTGGCCAGGCTGGTCTTGAACTCCTGACCTCAAGTAATCTGCCCACGTCGGCCTCCCAAAGTACTGAGATTACAGGCGTGAACTGCTGCGCCCAGCTTTTTTTTTTTTTTTTTCACTATTTAAAAAAAAATATTGTTACAGGGTCTTGCTGTGTTGCCCAGGCTGGACTCAAACTCCTGCACTCAAGCAATCCTCCTGCCTCCACCTCCTGAGTAGCTGGGACTACAGGCTGACCCCACCATGCTCCTCATAATGACAGTTATGAACCCCATATTACAGATGAGGAAACTGAGGCTCAGGGAGGTGCAGTGATTTGCAGAGTGGAGCTGGGGTTCATTTCCAGGTTGGCCTGGTTGGAAGCCCATGTTCTGCCCACTTCTTGGCCTTCCGAGGAGGGGCAGCGTTGAAAGGTGTGTGTACTGTCCAACTGAGAGACTGTGTTATTGTTTCCCAGACTTGGGTAGAGGGAGAAACATCCAAAGGAAGAAGTCACTGTTCCCATAGCTCAAAGAGCAAGGATTGTTTTCAGCTGAGCCTGCTGTGTGCCGAGCCCTTTGCTGGGCTGTGGAACACCGTGGGTGGTGTCTGCTGCCAGGGACTACACAGGCTCGTGGCAGGGAGCCAGGGGAACCAGGGCCCTGCATCCTGGGTAGGGGCTAGAGGCACAGGCTCTGGAGCCAGATAGTCAGGGCTGGTACCCTCCCTCTGCTAGTGGCTTGGGCAGCTACCTCGCTGCCTGAACTCTGTTTCCCTGTCTGAACTTGTTGGGTGTAAGAATTAAGTAAGTCAGAGCATCTTCAGTTGCACAGCACAGCTCCTGACACAGAATACACACTTGGTATCACCAGGTGAGTCAGGCCGATGTTGCCGAGTGCGGGAGGAGGGGCCTGGGACAGGGGCCGCTGCCCGCCCCCTGCTTCTCTCTAGGGCCAGTGCATGGCAGCTAGCCCATGTGGAGGCCTGGAAACAGGTGGTCCACGGCTTCTGTGGCCATTTTTCAGGAGAGAAGAGGAAGCAAGGGCAGCTTTGCTGAGAAGCTGGCCTCCATCTCCCCAGCCAGACCTGGTCCCTCCTGTCCTCAAGTTCTGGGCAGCTGTTTTGCATTCAAGCAGAGCTCCTGCCTGGCCCTGGGTCTCTGTCCTCTTCCCTTTGGTTACCCTCACCTCTTCCAGGGTGGCCACTGAGTGGGACCTCAGCCTCCTCTGGCATCCTGGACCTGCTGAAAATCTCAGCAGACCACCTCTGTGACCCTGGGCAAGTGACTTCACCTCGCTGATCCTCCTTCCTCTTCTGCAAACGGAGTCTCCAGCGCCAGGGTTAGCAGCACCCTTCAGAGTCTGACTGTGACCCCCACTTTCTCGCTGTGGTCCCCTGAGCAAGTCACTCAGGCTCCCCAGCCTCATCTGCAATATGGAGACAATTATACTTCAGAGATTTGAGAATTAACTGAGAAAACATACATAAAGCACACAGAACAGTGGTTGGGACATAGCAAGTGTTCAATATATGTTGGCCATGGTTATTACAATCCAGGCTTTCTTTTAAGGCTGTTGCAAAGAGCTCAGGGTCCTGCCCCAGAGACCCCACCCCCAAATGCCAGGTCCTTGGCTTCACACACAACCAGGCATGATGGCTCTTTGAGTCCTCACCCTGGCCTCTGCCCCTCCTGCCATCAGATTGGGCACTCTGCTTTGTATACACACACACACACACGCACACACGGAAACACACATGTACACAACGCACACATGCACACACACGTGCATGCGTGTACCCGCACACAAACAGGCACACACACAGGCACATGCACACACACCTACACCCACACACATGCACATGCATGCATGCACAGTGACGCAGAGGGCACTGATGTCTGTGGAACAAATTAAACAAAAGATGAAATGTGTGAGAAGAAGGCCAGGAGGCTCCACCTTTTGCAGGAAAGCAAGGATTCATTCATTCAATGAATTCTTACCGAACACCTATTGTTCTAAGCACCAGAAATACCTCAGTGATCAAAACAGACAAAAACCCCTGCCCATGTGGAGCTGGCACGGTGGTCCAAGAGATGGACCCTAGTGAAAGTGAGCAAATGACATGGAGAATGTCAGTCGGTGATACATGCCGGGGAAGCCTATAAAGTGCAGGTGGGGAGTGGGGAGGCTGTCATCTGAGACAGCAGTCAGGGAAGGAAGACCTCATGGAGGAGATGACATCTGAGCAGATTTGAAGGAGGCAAGATTACTGTTTGTTTGTCTACTCATTCATTTATTTTTCTTTTCTTTTTTTTTTTTTTTTTTGAGACGGAGTCTCACTCTGTCGCCCAGGCTGGAGTGCAGTGGCCGGATCTCCGCTCACTGCAAGCTCTGCCTCCGGGGTTCATGCCATTCTCCTGCCTCAGCCTCCCGAGTAGCTGGGACTATAGGCGCCTGCCACCACGCCCGGCTAGTTTTTTGTATTTTTTAGTAGAGACGGGGTTTCACCGTGTTAGCCAGGATGGTCTCGATCTCCTGACCTTGTGATCTGCCTGTCTCGGCCTCCCAAAGTGCTGGGATTACAGGCTTGAGCCACCACGCCCGGCCTATTTTTCTTTCTTTCTTTTATTTATTTATTTATTTTTTATTTTGAGACAGAGTCTCGCTCCGTCGCCCAGGCTGGAGTGCAGCAGTGGTGTGATCTTGGCTCACTGCAACCTCCTCTTCCTGGGTTCAAGTGATTCTCCTGCCTCAGCCTCCCGAGTAACTGAGACTATAGGCACCTGCCACCATGCCCAGCTCATTTTTGTATTTTTAGTAGAGATGGGATTTCACCATGTTGGTCAGGCTGGTCTCGAACTCCTGACCTCAGGAGATCCACTTGCCTCGCCCTCCTTCTAAAGTGCTGGGATTACAGGCATGAGCCACTGCACCCAGCCCTGTCCACTCGTTCATTTCTTCTTTCCTCTAGGCAGTCAGCCAGCATCAGCAAACCTGTCCTTGGGCCTGTTCTGTGGCCTGGCCTTGGCAGGGTTGGGGAGGTAGAGAGCAGCCCAGCCCCTGCCCCGGGTGACTCTCAGGCTGCTGTCTCCCAGCAGTGGGCATGTGAACATGTCCTGCCCACCCAGTGAGAGTCAACAGAAGCCAGGGTGACCAGTCCTCTTGGTTTGCCCAGGCCTGAGGGCTTCCAGGACACTGGACTTTCAGTGCTCAAACTGGGCAGTCTTGGGCAGACCAGCATGAATGGGCCACCCCAACAGAGGCTGCCCTTGATGCCAAGGGTCAGACCAACTATCAGGGGAGTCCTCCACTTCTCTGAGGATGTCAGGTTTGCAAGGGACATGGAAGGGAAGTGAGGCCTCCCTGGGTGAGCGGGGAGGACAGAGGTTCCATGGCTCAAGTCCAACAGCACATGGGGGTCGCAGGTGGATGTGAGGACGAGGCTGTCTTCCAGGGCTCAGTGAGCGATGAGGCAGGAAGGGATGACAGGGGCCTTGCGTGTCTGCAGAGGGGCTGTGCTGACTGTTGGCAGCCAGCCTCCAAGTAGGTGGGCAGCTCCTCTGTGTTAGCATTTTAGAAAGGCCAGCGCTTTGCTGTGCAAGGTTATCCACTGGGGCCAAAGGCAGAGGGAGCAGCGCCGTGTCCTTGCTCTCCCTTTCGTTGATTCCAGCAGGCGTTAAGCACCTTCCAAATCCCCAGCCCTGGCCAAGTGTTCAGATGTCTGCACTAGTTCAGCAAGACAAAGTAAGAGAGAAAAAGCAAATTGTGGCAAATCTGAGTGAAGGGTGTTCATTATACCATTATCTTTGGTTTGGACATTTTCAGAATAAGGTATTGGAGGTGGGAAACAAATAGAAATAAATCCTGGGACCTATACAGCCCCTGGGGAAGAAAGGTAAGGCCGGTCCTTCCCCCAGCAGCTCGCCATCCAGGCAAGTATCTGGGCGTGCACACCCGTTGTTCAGTGGCAAGTGTGCTTTGTGTGCATGACCTCCCCAGTGGAAGGACCCTGAGGCGGGCCTGGGGGCTGGGGGAACTGTGCCAGATGGAGAGAGAAAGCAGAGGGCATTCAGACAGAAACAGCAGGAGTCAGAGCACGTGGGCTCACTGTACACAGGACGGGAGGGCCACACGTCATTCCGGGTGGCTCCCTGGGGGTTTGTGCTGGGCCAGGAGGCATGGCTCGGGAGGAGGCTGGAAAGAGAAGTTGTGGCCTCATGGAGTTGCCTCCTAGAATCCGTCTCTGAAAATGAAAATGTGAGACTGGCCCACCATTACAAAATCAGAGAACACAGGAATGTTTCTTTTAGACAGGGTCTTGCTCTGTCACCTAGGCAAGCGATCCTCCCACCTCAGCCTCCTGAGTATGGGAATACAGGCACATGCCACCATGCCCAGCTAATTTTTGTATTTTTGTAGAGACAAAGTATCCTCATGTTGTCCAGTCTTGAACTCCTGGGCTCAAGGAATCCAGCCGCCTCAGCCTCCCAAAGTGCTAGGATTACAGGCATGAGCCATGGTGCCCGGCTGAGGAAATTATTATTATTATTATTAATTTATTTTTCTTTCCAAGATGGAGTCTCACTCTGTTGCTCAGGCTGGAGTACAGTGGCGCGATCTCGGCTCACTGCACCTCCCAGGTTCAAGCAGTTCTGCCTCAGCCTCCCGAGTAGCTGGGATTACAGGTATGTGCCACTATGCCTGGTTAATTTTTGTATTTTTAGTACAGATGGGGTTTCACCATGTTGGTCGGGCTGGTCTTGAATTCCTGACCTCGTGATCTGCCAACCTTGGCCTCCCAAAGTGCTGGGATTACAGGCATGAGCCACCGTGCCTGGCCTATTTTTATTTTTTATTTTTTTGAGACAGGGTCTCACTCTATTGCCCAGACTGGAATGCAGTGGCATGATCTTATCTCACTGCAACCTCCACCTCCCGGGTGATTCTCCTGCCTCAGCCTCCGGAGTAGCTGGGATTACAGGTGTGCACCACCACGACCGGCTAATTTTTGTATTTTTGGTAGAGACAGGATTTTGCCACGTGGGCCAGGCTGGTCTAGAACTCCTGGCCTCAAGTGATCCGCCCACCTTGGCCTCCCAGAGTGTTGGGATTACAGGTGTGAGCCATTGCATCCGGCTGAAATTATTTTTAAAAAGGAAATAAAACCCCCAGGTTAGTCCATCACCAGAGATAGCCACTGTGAAGCATTTGACACATTTCTTCCTAATATATTTTCATATATATACATACGCATGTAGATCTCCTAATAAAAAATAGTTTGCCTCTTGCTGTCTTTTACCTACAGTTACATCAGATGCATTGTCTGGTGCCTTTAAGTAGTCTCTGAAATCTGACTTCTCAGCCTTTTGGATGGCTCCAGACGGTCATGGCCCCTTGGCAAGTATGGCCCCTTCTCATACCTGGGCACAGAGGCCGTTTCACTCGTTTTCTGTGATAAAAACACCGTAGTAAACATCCTCCGTCCTGTGTAACCTCATGTCCACATTGCTGATTGTTTTGTTTATTTTCTGATACATTTCTAGACATGAAATGCTTGGAAGCCCTGCTGTGCCCAGAGCTGGCCAGGTACTCAAGGGAGGGTGTTGGGCTTCCCAGAGCCACGTGTCCACACCTGAGGACAGCCTGGACCCAGCTGTAAGGAACAACGTGCACTTCTTCAATGTCTCACTCTCTCTTCCACCGCTTTGTCCATGATGTCACAGTACCCCTTGCCTCCCCTCCCAATGCCTGTCTTGCTAATTCTTTCTTATCTTTCCAGACTCCAGCATAACCTTCTCCAGGAAGCTTTTCCAGAGCCCCCAGGCTAGGAACCTCCCCGCAACCCCTGAACTCAAGCCCCAGCAGCCTGTGCCTGCACCATCTCCATCAGAGCTGAATCTCTCTGGGTCTCTGGGTAACAAGTGCCATTTCTTTGTTGTTTTCTGTGTCCCCCAAGGACAAAGCTCAGGCTGGATTCATCTCGGAATTCCCACCACCAGGGGTAGAACTGGCTCTTTTCAATTTCAGTCAATGTTTGTTGAGCAAAGGAGTGAAGAGTTGGACAAATGAATGAACGCATGAAACAGCCCGAGTGGGGAAGCTGAAACTCAGGCATCGGGGACCTGGGAGAAGCATCCGGTCCAGGCGGACGGGGTGGAGGGGTTCAGAGTAGGGGCCCCAAGTCAGGAGTGGGGAGGCAGGGACGGCAAGACCTCCTTCCATGAAAGGAGGCTGGGACTGGGGAACCAGGTAGTGCAATGCGATGAGGGAAGGGGGCTGGCAGGGGGACTGGCCCGAGGAGTCAGAGGGAGGAGGCACCACTGGGTTATAGACAAGGACATTCTACGAGAGAGAAATGTGTCATGGGCTCTGGAGCCCCTGTCCAGGTTCAAATTGTGACCCTGTGCCAGGGCAGCTTCTTTGTGCCTCAGTTTTTCCTGTAAAATGAGGATACTAATACTTCATTCATTCGTTTTTTTTTCCCCTCAACAAACATTTGTTGTATGTCTGCTGTGGGCCCAGGACAGGAGGCTGAGAGGGAGCTGACCACCGTGGTCACACAGCTAAGCCCTGCAGCTGAGATCTGACCCCAGTTTGCCTGTCACAAGTTCTGTTTGTGCCCCATTGTCTGCTTCCTGGGGTTGTTATGAGGGCTGAAGAAGGGGCAGGCACAGAGGAGACACTTACTATATGATCATTGTCCTCCTAGAGTATCATCACCATCAGGTGGACTTCAGTGGCCATCCCAGGCCTCCACAGCTCAACCACAAGATCTTGGAGAATGTCCTTATCCCTCCAAGCCTCAGTTTACCTTTAGGGTGACCAACCATCCTGGTTTTCCCAAGACTGAGGGTTTTCCTGGCACAGTCCCAGGCAAACTGGGATGGTGGGTCACTGATATAGTTTGGCTCTGTGGTCTCCACCAAATCTCACCTTGAATTTTAATAATCCCTACGTGTCAAGAGCAGGACCAGGCAGAGATAATTGAATAATGGGGGCAGTTTCCCCCATGCTGTTCTCATGATAGTGAGTGAGTTCTCACGAGATCTGAGGTTTTATAAGGGGCTTCCTCCTTTGCTCAGCATCACTCTCTCTCCTGCCGCCCTGTGAAGAGGTGCCTTCCACCATGATTGTAAGTCTCCTGAGGCCTCCCTAGCCATGCAGAACTGTGCGTCAATCAAACCTCTTTTCTTTATAAATTACCCAGTCTCGGGTATTTCTTCATAGCAGCGTGAGAATGGACTAATCCAGTCACCCTGGTTTTCTCATCTCTAATACAGGGACCACCTGCCTCCCAGGGCTGTTGTGCAGAACAGAAATAAGCCTACGGAAAAGGCAGAAAACCATGGAGCCAGAATTCTAGGTCTGGTTACATGAATACTAAAGACTTTTGCATGCCATGGAATTCCAGGCATGAAAAAGAACGAGGCGGTCCCGTGTACTGCTGTGGAAGAAGCTCTGAGATACATGTGTTTTTTTTGTGTGTGTGAAAAAGGCCAGATACCTTTTTCTGGCCTTTGTGGGGCAAAAGGCATCTTTGTGGGGAGCGCTTCTGTTAGTACCAAGTTGGGGGAGGCAGGAACACACATGCACGTGCTCCAGTGCACACATGGGTTCTCCCGGGAGGGGACTGGGGGCTGAGGAGAAAAGACTTGCTTTTCACTATACATCCTTTTGCCTTCTTTGAATTATTTTAACCCTTTGTTTTCAGTAGCTGGCCAAAAAACTTCCCAAGCTTCCATGTGTCAAAAAGAACTCACTGAACAAGATTAAAAGGCCAAAGTTAGGGAGTAGGAACTGTGTCTAGCTCAGGGCCCAGCATCTAAGGAGTGCTCTGTGAAAGGCCTTCTCCCCTCTCCCACTCCTGACCTTGCTGACTGCTGGGAGTGCAGGGGCAACTCCCCCAGTGCGGTATTTGTGAGGCTCAAATGCAAGCTCAGGCTGGGGAGACTGCTCTGGGTTCCAGGCAGCATCCTGCCTAAGCCCTGGGTGTCCCAGAGGTCCCTGACTCCCTTCTCTGCCTGCATGTCTCAGGTCTCCCTCTGGCCAGTTCTGAGGTCCTGCCCTGCCTTGAGCAGAGGTGGCAGAGTTGGGCCCACCGTGCTGGGTAAATGTCCCGGTTTCACATACCTCCAGATTGCAGGGACCTGCGTATGCTGCTGCTGCTACGGAAACCAGTTCTGGCTCTGCCCTTGGGGAGAGGGAGCCACAGTTGATTTAGGAAGAGGCTCCAGACGCAGCCTGAGACTACCAAGCAGGCCTGACCCCCACAGACCCTGCCTCTTGTGAGCGCCCAGACTCAGCCCTGCCTCAGGCTACCAGCCATGTGGCCAGCCACTTTTCTTCTTTAATTTTTACCATCACACAAATATTTCAAGAAAATATTCTCATTGTAAAATCTCAAACAGTAATAAAATGTAGTGAATAAAAGGCCAAGTAATTCTTCTTTACGTCCTGAGCCCCATTCTATTTAAACCATTGTTGTCAGCTGGTCAGTGTATATACCTATACCTATGCCATGCCTATACCAATACCTGTACCAATATTTGTAGCTATTCCTATGCCACTACCCGCACCTGTATCATGCCTGTACTGACACCTATACCGAGACCATCTATATCTGTTTAGATGTGCATATTGTGTTTAAGTGTGCTTCTCACATGAGTAGTAACATTCTGTATGTTTTGTTCTGCAAGATGCTTTCTTTTTTTTTTTGAGATAGAGACTCATTCTGCTGCCCAGGCTGGAGTGCAGCGGGTCGATCTCGGCTCACTGCAACCCCTGCCTTCCAGGTTCAAGCGATTCTCGTGCCTCAGTCTCCCGAGTATCTGGGATTACAGGTACACGCCACCACACCCAGCTAATTTTTGTATTTTTAGTAGAGGCGGGGTTTCACTGTGTTGGCCAGGCTGGTCACGAACTTCTGACCTCAAGTGATCCACCCGCCTTGACCTCCCAAAGTGCTGGGATTACAGGTCTGAGCCACCATGCCCGGGCTATTTTTCTTTCCCTCCCTCTCTCCCTTCCTTCCTTCCTTTCTTTCCTTCCTTTTTTCTTTTTTTCAAACAGGGTCTCACTCTGTTCCTCAGGCTGGAGTGCAGTGATGTGATCTTGGCTCAATGCACCCTTGCTTTCCTAGGCCCAAGCGATCTTTTTACTTCAGCCTCCAGGTAGCTGGGACTACAGGCACACACCACCACACCTGGCTAATTTTTGTATTTTTTTTTTTTTGGTAAAGATAGGGGGTCTCACCATGTTATCCAGGCTGGTCTCAAACTCTTGAGCTCAAGTGGTCTACCCACCTCAGCCTCCCAAAGTGCTGGGATTACAGGCATGAGCCACCGTGCCCGGCCGATGCCTTATTTTTCACTGAACAATGTGTCATGGACATTTCTGAGCCAGTGCCTACAGACCTGCCTCCTCCTCTGTGCCGTGCAGTATTCTGTATGGGAACTGGTTCATCCCTTATTTGCCCCCTGGCCTATGAATGGGCATTTCCATTGTTTCCCGCCCACACACAGCCCTGAGCAGGCCTCACTGTGCACTCTAGCAGTTTCTCCAGGATAGGTACCCAGCTGAACCCCTGGCACTACTAAAGAGGACGAGTACCAAATTTGTGATCGCTATTATACTAAAAACTTGCCCTCTGGAAGTCCAAACTAAGCTCTCCTTATTCTTGGAGTTCCAATCACTCTGTTGGGTTGGCTTTTAAAGCTGGGCCAAGGAGAACTTTTCAACCATCTTGGCTTGCCCTGTTGGTGGGTGGGAGAGAGGGTTCCCTGGGGCAGTTTCAGAGAGAAGGGGAAGAACTTGCCCAGTCCCCAAATTTCTCTCCCATCTAAATGCCCTCCGACCTGAAAATGGAGATAATAATGGAGCTTCCCTCACAGTCATTCTGGGGACACTGCGAAAAACAGCCAGGATGGAGATCTGGTGCAGAGGGACGAGGATAATAACAGTCATGGTGCAATGTCCAGAAGCCTCACCAGGCCGCCCGGAAGCCTCGCCATGCTCCAGGCACTCTTTGGAGGCCCACCACCATCTTCTCCCTTATGGTGCCTGACACACATCATCGTCGTCACTTGCACTAATGCGAGTCCTACCAGTGGCTGGTGCTGGTTCTCACATGCTCCTCTGCATCACGCCTGATCCGCATCGTTCTAACCCAGTGGCCTACGAGTCCCCATGGCTGACATTAGCTGCAGGGCTGGCTCAGAGCGCTGTCTCCCAAATTTGTATCCAGAATCCTTCCCCAATATTCCCAATGAAAACCCCAGGTGCTATGTGGACAGCTGGATCCAAAAGAGTTCTGGGATCAGTGGGACTTACTTACCCAGTCTCAGCTACTCCAAGTTCTGGGAAACAGTGGGTTCTTTGGGCCTGGGCCAGGCCAGAGCCTCAGCGTCCCCATCTGTAAGATAGAGGTGGTTGCAGTCAGACTGGATAATTCCAAAGTGCATTTTTGTTTGTCTTGGACCTCCTGCCCCACCCTCTCCAGCTTATCGTCTCAGAAAACATGCTGCTAAAAGGAATGGCCCAGTCTTGGCTCCTGTTAGCCTCTGTCTCAGGAGGGCAGGGGACCCGAGGACCAGGGAGTCAGTCGGAAGTTCAAGTTCTACTCCTGACTTCAAGTTCTACTGTCTGCCTTCTAGCTGCAGCCCTAGGTGATGTTTGCAAAGGCCCCTGTAACTTCGTGGGTGCTTAGTCATGGTCCCTCTCCTTTCCCTGCCTGGGCAGATCCCCTCACTTTTCTGAGCCTCAGTTTCCTTACCTCTGAAATGGCTGTGCCTCCCTGCCTGGCTCAGTGCCAGGGCTGTTTGAAGCTAGCAGAAGATGCTGGGTGGAAAGAACTTTGCAGGTAGAAAACGCCGGCCTGTTGGGAAGATTTATTGCTGGGACTGTAAGTGCGAGGTCCAAAGGCCATCGAGGCCGAGCCAGTCCCTGCCTAGAAGGCTGTACCAGGGACCGGGCTGCTCTCTCTCCACCCGCACTAGCTGAGCAGAAGGCCTTCTCCCTGAGGCCCTAATGTTTGGTGGTGGGGACAGGGGCTGGGCTCTATTTCAACAGATATGTACTCTCTTATTTTAGAGCGTCTGTCCCCCAAGCAGGGCCCTGGTCAGCGGCTCGATGACCAAGGCCTGGGGAGGGGCACAAGCAGCCTGAATCCTTCCCGTGCTCTCATCCCTCGTGTCCTGTGGATTCTCTTTCATTTTCCTTTCTCAACTGCAGCCCCAGGGGACCCTTGCCTCGCCCGTGGCCCCTTGCTACCCCCGCCACCTTGACCTCCTCCTTTGTGCTCTCCCCACTTCCACTCTGATCACCAGGATTCTTTGTGTGTGTGTGTGTGTGTTTTGTTTTGTTTTTTTTTTGAGATGGAGTCTTGCTCTATCGCCCAGGCTGGAGTATAGTGGCGTGATTCTGGCTCACTGCAACCTCTACCTCCTGGGTTCAAGCAATTCTCCTGCCTCAGCCTCCCGAGTAGCTGGGATTACAGGCACGTACCGCCACGCCCAACTAATTTTTGTATTTTAGTAGAGACAGGGTTTCACCATGTTGGCCAGGCTGGTCTTGAACTGACCTCAAGCTATCCACCCGCCTTGGCCTCCCAAAGTGTTGGGATTACAGGCGTGAGCCACCGAGCCTGGCCTCGGGAGTCTTTGGAAAATAAGATTTGAGCAGTCTCTCCTGCCGAGTGCCAGCCTGTGCAGGGCCCTCAGGGGCAGTGGAGCCAAAAGGAGAGGAGACGGCATCCCTGAGCTTTGTACCCTGCTAACCCCCAGCCACTGCTCCCTAGCTCATGTCCTGCTGGGATGCATCCCACATTCTACCACACAGATCTGTTCCAGCGCCAGACCACGCTTCCTCTCTCTCCCCTTGGTGCGTCCCCTCCCCAGCCTAGACCCCTTCCTTTCCCTCTGCCTTGACGCATCCTGCTCCCAGGCTGGGTAAGGGGAGTCCTGGTCTGTGTTTCCTCAATGGAGTTAGCTCCTCAAATCCTATCTGTATGTCTCCTGAGGGGGTCCGCGAGCCCCACAGGCAGAGGCACACCTGCGTCACAGCAGGGGCCCTGAGCTCGGCCCTAAGTGGCTCCTGAAATGCTCCTGGACGCCTGAATGAATGCCCTCCGCTGGCCACCCGGGGCAGTTGGGAGTGTGAGCCTTCAGGCTTGGCCCGGCAGAGCTATATTTAGACACCAGGGCCAGGGCAAGCTTCTGAGGCTGAGGAGGTGGCAGGGCCCACGGTGGGGCCCCAGGGGAACCGCCTCATCGAGGGGACTGTCCCTGGGTGAGAGGCCAGAGCCCATTCCGGTTGCTTTGGCTTCCACTGCCCCCAAAACGGCAGAGGAAGGATTCTATTTGAACAAAGGAGGCTCTCTGGCTGGTTTGGTGTGTGTATTATAGCTGGAAAAAATAAGTTCTGGGCTGGCTGGTCAGCTCCAAGGGTGGCCCAGGACTGGCGGGCCGGGGCGAAAGTGGGGGTTTCCTGGCCAGCCCCTGGGCTGGCTCCTGTCTGCTGCAGAGGCCTGTATGACTGACTGTCCTCCCCTCCATACCTCGGGCAGGCATCGTGCCAGGCCAGGGTGCGGCTGCCCGGCGGGTGAGGAGGGGCTGCCCTGGCCCCACTGCTCGCTGCCCAGCTCTTGGAGCGGGCTGGAGGCAGGATGGATGTTCGCAATAATTACCCAGCTGCAGCTTCCCCAGAGCTGCCGCCATAGCAACGGTGCCGGGCGCCCCAGCCGGCCAAGTGGCAGGAGGGGGATGTGGGCGCTGTGGGCAGGTCGGGGAGTGGGGTGGCACGAGCCCCAGGCACAGCCCCACTGGCTCCCTTTGTCAGCTCCCACACCGGCCCGCCCCTTCCCTAGAGGCCGGGGGAGGGGGGCTTTGTCTGGGCATAGGAAGGTTGGCACAGCCCTGAGGAGGCTCCAGCAGACGCCCCATTCCCACTGCCAGGGCCCATGTGGCAAGGGGAAGCAGGTGTCAGGAGGGCTGGGAACGCTCAGGGTCCCCATGGCTCAGGGTTCAGTGGAGGGTGTGCTGTGCCCCACCTGGCGGCCCACCACACACCCGGGCTCCCCTGGTCTCATAGCCCACAGTGGCATCTTCTTTTTCTAGAAGGGAGTGTGTGGGCACTGGGCGCTCCCTGGGAAGGACTCCACTCACCCTGCCTTGCAGGGGTCCTCTTGGAGCAGGCCTTGGGCGGAACTGGCTTTGGGTGGGGCTTTACCTGTGGGGGAGGCCCTGGGAACCCCCATAATCCTGCCCTCATGGTACCCATCCCCTCTGTCTGTACTAGGAAGCCCTGACAGCCCCTCCCTCCTGTGAACATTCAGTCTGATGAAGAGACTGTGGTTAGCTCTGTTTTCCAGATGGGGAGACTGAGGCCAGAAAGGTCTAGGACTTGTCTGGGATCACAGAGCTAAAGTCTGTGGATCCCCAACCCCGTCCAGCGT